ACCTGAGTTGAAGTCAGACGCTTAACTGACTGAGCCACCCAGGCGTCCCTTCACCTTCCTAGTTTAAAAAGATGGTGGGGATCCCGGGTATTCAGGGACGTAGAGATCCCTGGATGAAATAGGAAGGGAATCCCAAGTTGAGTCCCCCCAAATCATGGGATTGTGTGGTGCAGGGGAAAGTTCTTGGCTGGGGGATGGGGGACAAGAGTGGGCAGTATGGGATTATGAGCTCCCTGGCTCGAAACTCCAGCTCCCCGACTGGAATTTGGAAGGCCACGGCTGTGAACTGGAGATCTCTCGTGTTTTGAGGCTCCAGCGTTAGAGGGATCAGAATTTCAGGTGGGATGTGTAATTGGAAGTCCTAACATTGGAGGTTAGAATCTGGAATCTCTGGTAGGGAATTTGGGGACCTTGTGATGGCCCATGAAGGGGGAATCACAGACTTCCTGATTTGGGGGTTTAGGGTTCAGAGCACTGATCCCTAGTTTGAAAGATGGTCTAGGGTACTCTGGCTAGGGTGCTGAATTGAGGGGGTGGGCGGGTCCCAGCTCATGGTTTTGACATTCTGGAATCTCTAGCCAAAATCCAGGCTCCAGGTCTCTGAGTCCCAGTGTTCTGGGATCCAGCAGCTTGAGATGGAGCCCCAGCGTCCCAGGTGAACCTGCCTGGATCTGGGATGGGGGGGATTAGGGTTCTGGAATCTTACATCTGAGTCATGGGCCACGATCTCAGATTGAGGTATCAGATTGAGTTATCAAATTGAGGTCAAGGCACAGGAGCAGAGTCAGAAGGTCATGGGGTCAAGGTCCTGGTGTCAGAATTGGGTATTACATGTCAAGAGAAGAGTCCAAGTGTTTTAACTTGGGCAGGAGCCTCTGCTCAGGGTCTTGGTTAGTGGGTCCTCGGTTAGTGGGACCCTTACTTAGGGTTCTTCTTGTTAGTGACCCACGTGGGGGATTTCTGGTAACTATTTAGAAACAGACTCCAAGAGAAAAGGGTTAAGGTACCACGAGTCAGGATTGGGGAGATACACCTGGTTCTTGTGTTGAAATGCCTGGTCAGTGTAAGTTTGAGTCATGGGACCAGGCTCAAGGTTAAGGATTCTGGTGGGGGGCTTGGGAAAGGGCCTAAGTTTAAGGTTGGAGGGCCTGGTTTTGGCATTGAGAATATGGGAGTTGAGTTTCTAGTCAGAGTCATGATATTTGGGACCCAGGTCCAGACACATGGTCCAATCTCTGGATCTGGGCTGAAGGGTTACTTACAGTTGAAAATCTTATTCTGGGGCTGGCGATCTGGTGTGGGGCCTCTCATCAGGATCCAGAACACAGGTGTCAGGTGTGGGAAGGCCAGGCCTGGGGTTGAAGGTCAACAGTTGATGTCACTGGTTCCCATCCAGAAATGGGGTCATGGGTTAGGGCACAGAGGTCAGAGCCTGGGTCCAGTGTCCAGGTGTTTGCTTGGGGTTGGGGAATCTAGTTAGCCCCACCAGGGCTCTCCAGGACAACAGCTTTCTGTCTCTCACTCAGGCCCCGCAGGGCGCCCCCCGCCGCTGACGATGAGTCATTGCAGCAGCCGCGCCCTGACCCTGCTGAGCAGCGTGTTCGGTGCGTGTGGCCTGCTGCTCGTGGGCATCGCGGTCAGCACTGATTACTGGCTGTACATGGAGGAGGGAACGGTGCTGCCACAGAACCAGACCACGGAGGTCAAGATGGCCCTGCACGCAGGCCTCTGGCGAGTCTGCTTCTTTGCAGGTACGGACCTCACCTGCCGTCCATTCAACTGCCCCTGCCTTGCCTGGGACCCAAGAGCCCTTACCCGTACTTCTATCCCTTGGGTTCCAGAAGTCCAGAAACTGGTCCTGTTTTTCTCCTGGAGACCCGACCTCTAGCCCTTGATGTCCTGGATCTGAGAGCCCCATGCTCACACAATTCCAGGGTCCCTAATACCTGGAGAGTCCATCAGTCCTTGTCTCCTGGACAGTTCCAGTGTTGAATGGGCAGAATAAAAACCCTGTCTCTCCGGAACTCAGGAGCCTCTCGTCCAGCCTTACCTTCTTATCTTC